TGCGTAATCAATGAAGCAGAAGTAGATGTTTTTTCTGGAACTCTCTGGCTTTCTCCATAATTCAGTGCATGTTAGCAATTTGGTCTCGAGTTCCTCTGCCCCTCCTAAATCCAGCTTGTACTTCTAGGAACCATGTAAAAACAACAAAAACAAAAGTAGACTTCTTAATGTTCCTTCGGTTAGCACAAAATGTCCTTCCATTGCCCAGTGTACTTCTAGGAACCATGTAAAAAAAACAAAAACAAAAGTAGACTTCTTTATGTTCCTTCTGTTAGCACAAAATGTCCTTCCATTGCCCAGAGAAGGGGTTAACTGGGGTACTTTTCTTTGCATGCAATCACCCTGCTTCATTCCCAAAATTTGGGGAGGGGCTGCAGCAGGGAAGTCCAGGGAACACTGATTTCTATTGGTAACCCTAGGAACCATGTAAAAAAAACAAAAACAAAAGTAGACTTCTTTATGTTCCTTCTGTTAGCACAAAATGTCCTTCCATTGCCCAGAGAAGGGGTTAACTGGGGTACTTTTCTTTGCATGCAATCACCCTGCTTCATTCCCAAAATTTGGGGAGGGGCTGCAGCAGGGAAGTCCAGGGAACACTGATTTCTATTGGTAACCCTTTGGCTTATTTTACCATTTCCTTTTTTGTTTATCACAGAAAATCTGTTAAAGAAGAAAACACGTCCCACACATTGCCTTTTGTTTGGTAGACGAGAAGCCTTCAACTTGGAAACATCAACAGTAGTGGTGGGGTGTTTGTGTTAAAGTTCGAGAACTACCCCCAGAGAAAGGCTTGTTAATGTGGATGCAGAAAAAGGCAACAGCTTTCTATTAGTGTTATGTCAATTACTGATTGACCTTCATATTAATAGGCACCAGTTGCTGCTGCTGAAAAGTTTTAATACTGTCCATCTGTTTTATTTTTCTTCCATTCACCATGCCTTTGGTTTTATATTTTGACATTTTGCATAGTTTTTATGTTCTGAACTGCTTTTCATCATAAGGCAAGTATTTCTTTTTCTAAGTAAAATAAAATAAAATTAAAAAGGACTGTTGATTGCAACTGTACGCAATGTTTGATATTTCATTTTTCTTAAATGTTTAACTTTTAAGAAAAGGGGTTAACTTTACTAGGATTTAAATGTTTACATCTGGTATAATCAGTTTCTTTTTTATAATTTCTCAACTGATTATCTTCTTTCCACCTTGATGAGGGGCCTAGATGGGGTGGGGGAGAACTAAAGATATTGGTATTGCCAACAGTCTGTGCAGGCAGGCATCTTGAGAACCATAGATTGGAGTTGATAAGAAGCTACTTTAGAAGACCTTGAAAGCTACTGAAGAAACTAACAGGCCCCATTAGATTTTCTGTCATGCATATGATGAGGAAAATACACCAGCAGAAAATCCGCATGATTGTCTTATTGTGACAGCAGTAGCTATTGTGCTGGGGTGCTTTTTGGACTGTTCCACCTTGGTGTTTATGCTCTACTGGTTAGCAGAATTTTCAGGGGCAGTTTCCAGACAGAAAGGGCTTTGTGACAGGATAGGGCTGTTACAGTACAACATGCGCCTCACTGGTTTGACAAGAAAGAAAAAGTTTCAGTGAAAGGAGCCTGACTTGGTCTAGTTTCCTGTTTCAGGCTCGAAGCATTTGCTGTGCCCACCCCAGCAGTTGTCCTAATGGCTAGCAAAGACATTATATTCTTATTCGGGAACAGCACTGGGCCAGCTTCTGGTGAAGTATAATTACTAGCATACTGTACACCTCCACAATAGCTCAGGAAGAATTAAATGCTGCTGGGGGATTGGGTGGAGAGGGCTTAGTTTTCTTTCATTGTTCATGTCAGTTACCATTGCCATACATTTAATAAACAAACCAGATAATTCTCATCCAGTAGCAGGCAATATGACGAGCATTTGGAGCAAGTAGCATCAAGTCTTCTGTGGTGTATGCTGAGGAGCAGAGAATATACTGACATAGGTGTGAGGTTGCCTGTTCTCTGCACTTGGAAATGACTGTGTCAATGCAAAATCCCAATTTTCTTTGTTTCTGCCAAGTCTACTGCATAGCCTACTACTTCCAAGTAACCCAGTTCTCCATGTGACCAGGGGTTAACTTTACTAGGATTTCTTCCAATTTAAAAGATGGGTAGTTCTTTCTTTCCACAATATAATCCTGTTATTCTCTGTTTTTCCTTGACTGCTCTTGGAAATGACTGTGTCGATGCAAAATCCCAATTTTCTTTGTTTCTGCCAAGTCTACTGCATAGCCTACTACTTCCAAGTAACCCAGTTCTCCATGTGACCAGGGGTTAACTTTACTAGGATTTCTTCCAATTTAAAAGATGGGTAGTTCTTTCTTTCCACAATATAATCCTGTTATTCTCTGTTTTTCCTTGAAAAATCACAAAAGTACCAATGCGAGAGCTTATCAAGGAAGAGAAAGCCAGGACATGGCCAAGTTTAAAGGAAAATATCTGTGACTTTCAGTTATGATGTATGCATTTTTATTGGTTTATTGATTAATACAGAAATTCTATTGTTCTTCAGGCCATTTTACAAATTAAGATCAGATTAAGTATCAGGAAATACAATAAAACACAGTAAACCCTCATGAAATACAGAAGGAAGACAGAGACTACTATGTTGCATGCCTTTATATCAAGGCATGGAGACAGAAAAGGGACCATGTGATCCTTCCATAGGAACAAATTCCAAGATTAGGTAATACGTTTACTGAATCACTGAGAAGTTACACATTAGTCAAGAATTCTAATTCTCTGTTAACTTTTCATCAGGCAAACAAGATATAAAACTCGGGGTTAAGGCAAATAGTAACCTTAACAAAACTAGTTTGCCTTAATCAAAATTGGTTCAGATGTGATATCCTTTGCTCTTGAAACAAGATTGCCATCATGTCCAGATGGAGTTTGTAGATTCAACACTGAGACAAAGCTGTCAATGATATCAATTTACAGTCTTTCCTCTGTCTCCAGACCAAAGATTGGTTTGGATCCCTGTTGAGTACTATGTATGGACGTGAATGTTGGACAGTGAAGAACACCAACAGGGGGAAAAAAGTAATCCATTTGAAATGTAGTGTTTGGAAAGAGTTTTACAGATACCTTGGACTGCCAAAAAGACAAATGAGTGAAATCAAATTCTAGATGAAATCTAGAATCAAAAAATGACTAAATGGAGGTTATCATACTATGGAGACATTGTGAGAAGACATGACCTGCTGGAAAAGACACAGTTGAAGGCAAACAGGGAAAGCAAGAGACCAAATAAGAAATGGATCCAAGAACAAAAAAGTCACAATCTTAAGCTTGCAAGAGCTGAAAAGAGCTGTTAACAACAGGACCTTCTGTAAATCACTGATTCAGAAAGCTGCCATAAACTGGAGGATACTGGATGAATCTGTCCACTGCCTTAGGCAAGGCCAACAAACCACTTTATAAGCTTATGGAGAAGAATGTGAATGAAGGTAAATGTCTTTAGTTCAACAAATCAGGAGATCAAATTGAAGATATTGCATCAGGTTAAAAAAAATCAGTTGTGGAATCAGGAAACGGGTGGGTCTTCAGAGGTTTCTGCACAGTTATGCCCATCTTTCCTCACCACCGACTATACTGGCTAGAGTGGATAGATGAGAGTTGGCACTGATGTAATGTGGGGAGCCACAGGGGTGGTTGCCCCAGGTGCAAAAATTTTAAGGGTAAAAATTCATACTCCTGCAGATGCTCCTCGTGGTCCTCTTCCCCCACCCAACATTCTGATTCTGAGCCACCAGAGGACCTAGACCCACCGCGCCCACTATTCCTGCTGCCAGTGCAGACTCCAAGAAGCTCCATGACCACTTCATGGCACCACCCACGCATTGCATCACAGAGTCAGCAAGTGACCCACGCCCCATAATAATTGTTTTGCTCTGGATGCTGGCCACCCACACTACGCCACTGAGAGCTGTACTTTTAGAACATCTGGAGAGTCACTACATAACTCAGTGAGTCTCATGATTCAGTGAGGGCTTGAATTTCAGTCTTCCAAATTCCAGTCCAACACTCAACCCAATGCAGCACACTAGTCACAGGTGCCTGGTGGAATTAAAGGTCTTGTTGTTCAGAGGAACTAGAAGGCTGGGCCAAAGGCTTCATGAAAAAAGGTGGATTTTAAGGAAGGTTACAACGAAGTAGGAAAGGCACTATTTCACAAAAGCCATTTGAAAATGGGATACATCACTTGGTCTTGGGATGAATTATCTTCATGACGTACCTCTTATCACTATGCATTCTACGCAATGATCCAGAAGTGACAGTTTTCCATGTCAAGCAATAACCGAAAAGTGAAACTACAGCAGGCAATCTTGATTCATTTCCTCCAACAAATGTCACATTTCAGTGGTGTCTATGTTTTGTGATATGTTCAATGACAGAACAGCTACAAGTATCCTCTTCCTTTGTAAGTCCACCCTCCTTATTCTCAAATGTTCTCATTTTAATTCATTTTTACTTCTGGTGCTGTTGTGGTTTGATGTCTTGTTTACTCAAAGTTGTGGCTCTCCCCACTTGCAGCAGGAGAATGGACACTCTTGCTGCTAATCATACAATTGATAATAGATGCACATTTTCCCATGTTTTATTCATGACCTCTTTTCCCCCCACCACCTTTTTCCTGCTATGTGTCCCTGTTCTGCTGGTATGGGAACTCAGCACTTCATTCCATGGACTAGTGTCAACTGAACGTGGAGGAGGTAGGTTGCCCCATATCACCCCAGGTGGTTGGAAAACACATTGATTGCCCACTACCAAACTAGAAAAACCCTTTTCCTTCACTAGGAATATCTTCCCATGGGGTTAATAGGTAACAGAGCTTTGACACCATTTTTAACAATAGGCTTTTGTGGTGGTAACCCATTATACCATTCCATGGGGAATGATTGGTTGGCGTTGCTGTGTTGCTGCCAGGTCACAGTGGCATTATGTCACAATGCTGGCATCGCCACAGAATACCACCTTCATGTGAATCTGAGGTTAGACATTAGCTGCTAACACTGAGTCTCCAGAATCAGGTGAAGTATTTAAAAGTTTCTATGTATAGACAAGCCAACTGTAGAATATGTATAAGAAGGTTTACACATCTAAGAAGACAAATTAGGACAAACACACTGTGAAAATCAGCTATTTTCAGTTCCAAAGATGACCCATTAATAACACACTGATCTATTTCCTGCAAACTAATGAACTCAACCCACATGCAGCAGTTACTATGTCTCCATCCAAATCAGAAGAGACTAGTTCATAGGGTGGGTGGTGTCAGCCACACAAATACAGAGAAAATGATACGCGAGGAATAATACACAAGGAATGCAGTTATGGTGCACATAGGAATGTCCCATATACAGTTTAGTGTGGGCACATGTAGTGCAAAAAAAAAGTTGACCATTTGGATACCAAAGATAATAACAATAACCAGTTCCAAAATATTTACCAAGTGATAAATTCCATTATATGCCATGGGATTTTCTTCTACCTGTTCCTGGATCTGCCAGGGGAAACCATGTAAACAAACCACATGTTTAGCTGTGAAAGAGTCAAAGTCTTTAGCACTAAAGCTCCTTAAAATTCAAATATTCTGAGGTTAGTACCAAACCACTTTCCTCTTCCTAAATTGGCCTGGCAAAATATTGAAAGAGGAGGAGGATATATAGGTCATTAGTCTTCCTTGGTATATGGAGGTTGTTTACATACTTTGTTCTAAGGCATCCCCAAGTATGTGTGCATCTTGCAAGTCGAGAGCAGGTTAGGTGGTTTGTCGACTCGAGGACTGGCAGGTCTAGGATAGGCTAGTGACAGTGTCATTTGGGAGACCCTTCGTTCCCAACCGCAAGTCTTCTGCAGCCTGTGGTGTCATGGAAGGACAGCCCCCTGGGGTAATGCCAAGCTCCTTGCTGTCAGAGTGCTAGGACCTGGACTAATTCATTGCAGCAGAGTTTAATTAAACTGCACCAGAGTTGTTTCCCTGGTAAAATAAGTGTGGGAAGAGAATGTGTGTCAAAAGAGACATACCCCTGACTGTGTCTGCTTTATTGTTACCCCACAACTAATATATTGTGGGAATTCCCATGGGGTCCATGATAAACTGTATTATCAGCTTCCCTAAAATAGGCAGCCGACCAGTGTAAGTTACCACTGTAGTCTGCAACTCCATTAATCCTCCTAATTTATTATATTATAGCTGTATGTGAGGTCTCCTAAATTCATTGCCCTCCTTTTATCTTAATAAAAATGCTTGTTTTTCCTCCCACATGAAGGCAGTTATTATTTGTTGTGTCTGTCTCTTCAAATCCACTTGCACAAAATATGATTACTGACTGAGAAACGTAAACTGCATTTGACATGTTGTCTACAATAAAATGGTAAAAAACACACAACAGATCTACTTACTGCTGCAGTGGTATATGAAGACACACACATAATACATCCCACATACTGAATTTTTATTTAGTTCTCAGTTTATAAGTTATTTTATGGAGTTATGTTTTCATGGGTGGAGTATATATCTATATATAGACACGAAAGGCATAAGACAAATGCCAAACTCTTTATTATGGCAATGGTTTTTATAAAGCCAGTCCAAAAGACAGAAAAATGTGTGAAAGCTTTTCAAATTTTAGATCCTTCACCAGAAGAAAAAAAAAGTTACAAAAAGCAAGTGGGCAAAAGATCAGGTTTCCTGCGTCCCTTTCATTTCACCAACCTGTTTTTTAAATCATATCTTAAGTCATGAAATCTCAAAAGCCTTTTCCTTTTTGTGCTTTTTATCTAATAAAAGTAATATCATATGGATTTTGGACTGTATCTACAGTATATGTAGACCAATTATCTATATATGTACACACACATGTCATTTCTACATACATCCGAACACACATGAAAAGAGCAACAGAGAGACACAAACACACTTCATAAGCTATACCTGTACAAACCTTCCATTCCGTAAGATATGAGATCAGGCAAGGCCAGCCTGCCCTTTTATATCCCTATACTGTATAAATATATAATAGTAAAGAAAAACCCAAGACCACGTGGGTTTTGGTGGAAATGAAATAGAGTCACACAGCTTACCCTCCAACATTAGACAGCTGGTTGGGGAACCCTATTGAATGTGGCTCAACAGGGAGGGAATATCTTGAAAATCAACCCAAAGCACCTTCTATAGGGCACTTGTGATTTCAGGGGCTCATTGGCTTTTATGGAGCTTTCACTATAGAATAGTTTCTCTGCTCAAAAGTCACTTGTTTCAGTAGGTATACACAGAACGTGAAATGAGGAGCTATGAATTGGAAGGGGTGGGGTGGGGAGTTACTACCAACTGATCTGGGTAAAAAGTATGAAATATACAGTATGGTACTCTATGAAATATATATTCAGTGGCATTTTCAAGTAAAACAAACTGGGAGAAGGAAGTAGTAGGTAGAAATTCTTTCTTTTCTTTTCATATGGCATCAACATTATGGTATCGATTATGCATACTTATAAAGCTCTCATTCATTTCCGTCTGCTATCTTGAACCAGAACACAAGTCAAGTATCCCAGAATCCAACAGCCAGTATGTAACTTTACCTGTTCACACCAGGATTCCCTGCTACACTTACAGTATTTCTCCAGAGTCTCGCTTGCCATTTCCATAGTGCTACCAGGATTCCCTGCTACACTTATTTCCCCAGAGTCTCGCTTGCCATTTCCATAGTGCCCTATTAGCTCCTTATCTGGGAATTCACAGCCCATCACCTCCATCTCTTTTTTTCTCCACATTCATTATTATGAATATCTGCCAACCTAGTGCTAAAGGCCAGGTGCACTCATCAAGTTGTTTTCTTCCTGGAAACTATTTGGTGAGACAAAAATGTCTGTTCGTCCTCCAGTCTTTGTCAATGAGCAAATTTCTTCACTTTTGTCAAAGTGCATCATGCTTCTGTACTGAGTTAAGCAGGTACATGTCATTACACACTCAGGTTCATGTGTGTGCCTGAGGGCATCGGTAACAATAGCACTTGAAAACCTGCATCTCAGTTTCTATGAGTTACATATGAACAAGAATGAGGTTAGATTTTTCAAACAGACAATACGTACACTAGTCTATTCTCCAGAGCAGAACCTTAGAAAATTGCATCAGGTGATTTCCAATAAAATAGTATCACATCTTCTATTATTTATAGGCACATCTATTTGATGGCTTTTATTAATTCATGAGAATATGTAGGATTATTAAATGAGGTCATAAGGAAACCACAATCTTGCGGGCAACAGGCTGTTTCCATCTTTTACAGATTCCTGTTAGAATGCAACATGTATACAGGCACAGGCACCTTCACCCGCACAATATAGCATACAAAAAGAATGATTCATACAATGGCAATTAGATCTAAAACCCATTTGGCCCTACTGTAGTGAACAGACAGGTCTGGAGGTGACAGACATGGTACTTTAGTGACTGGAGAGATTCTGTCATCCCATTCCCCATCAGCCAAAGTGTCTGAAAAATGACAGGCCCCTTTGGTGCCCATGTAAAGCATGTGACCTTGCCCTCCCAACGCTTGATCTTTGCACTTGAGCTGGTTATTTGTCACTGTCTTAGAAGGCGGAACTCAGGTGCCTTAGCATGTGTCCTCTCTCTCTATATGTGTGTGTGTAACCAAGCAAAGTGTAATTTCCCTCCTTGGGCCTAATGGCAGCAAACGCTTGCTTGCTTGCTTGCTTGCTTGCTTGCTTGCTTGCTTGTTCCATTTATATGCCACCTTCCCCATGATCAGCTCAAGGCAAAACACAGGACTGTCCCCCTCTCCACTTCATCTTCATAACAGCCCTTTGAGGGAGGTCAGGCTGAAAGACAGTGGGTGGCCCACACTGATCCTGTCAGTTTCCATGGGGAACGGAGTCTGCATCTCCCAACACCCATTCTATCGCAGGAGGGTGGTGACTTGGATTTTACGGGTAAACTCACTCTGGGTTTTAGTCCAAACTGTGAAGGATCCATTCAATGTTTTGAGCCTATTTGGGGGTACTGGTCCAGAACTTTGGATGACACTTTTAAAGTGTGGACTAAAACCTGGAGTGGATTCATCCACACACGGGCCCCAATCAAAATTGAAGTCACCAACCTCCATTGCAGGCCATCCCTCTCAGCATTGTACCACACTAGTTTAGGGGAGCTGGGTAGACTTCATGTCATACACAGGCCTACCCTTCAACACCTTGCCACTGGCCTATACTACTCCAGCATCTGCTACTTGAGGTAGCTTCACCACAGTGACAAATGGTAGGGCCACTACCAACCCACTTTCTCAGTCTCAGACACTCTGAAACTCCCCTGTCACCTCTCAGGAAGGGACAATGCCGAGTTTGCCAATGGCCAGGTTAATGTAAGCAGCGACTCTTGACAATGAAAGGAGAACAGGGAGAAGGAGGGGAAGCAATTGCCTTTGAAATCAGAAAACCAGAAGGAACTGTAGCCAGATCCCAGAGGGCCTGCTTGCCCATTCTAATTCTAATTCCCTGTGTCTATAGCTGTCTTGCAAGTAAAGTGAGAATCTTGTGTCAATGTATTTCCATTGCTCTATTCTTCTTCTTACACAGGTAATGCAGAGGTCAGAGATTTTCAGGTGGAATAAACAGATCAAGTATCAGCAACCATAGCTACTGGTCCACAGGTACAATGGTTCTCTCAACTTCAGAAGGAGGAGGAGGGGGAGAGAATGATTAAAATAGAAAGAAAGGAAGGTAAGGAAATTGCTCTAACTAAGGTACCGCATGTGAGGAGACATACGTTCTTGTGGAACAATGTCAAATGTGATAGTGGCAACGGATGTATCCTGCTTTGACATCCCATTCTCTCAAATTCATACAAAAGCTTTTGTGTTCAGAATTAAGAGATGCAGCACCATAATGAGTGCAGTTGGAAACACTGATTTAGGCAGCAAGGCCTCACAGCTGAAGCTGAATAGTGGGAGATGCAGGACAAGTTTTAGTGTCCTTAACACTGCACTAGGTTAAACTGTGAAATTCATAGCCACATTCATGCATTGACAACATGAATAGCCTTAAAAGGGGTCTGGATAAATCAATATATAAGGTCATTGGTGGCTGCTGGTCAAGATGGCTATTCAGTTCTTCAAAACAACCTCTGGTTTATGAATGTGGGATACTGTGCTTCTGTACTTACAATTCAAAAAGCCAGGAAATGGTCTAATATTGCTGCATGATATCATGCCTGCATTGCCAGCAGGAAAAAGGATGCCAAGCTTTACATAGCAAAAGGCAGCCTGAATTATGACAGCACTAATGGCAGTAGTCAAGATGGTCTACAGGATACCTTTTTCTGCTCATTACCATTCACAGAGTGATACCATGCAAGGGAAAAATCACAGAAAGTGACTCCTTTTTCATCTGTTAACCACTTCAAACCCAAATAGAAAGCAACAGCCAGGGCTCTTTTTCAACAAGTGTGAATACTAATACATTTTTAAAAAAATCATAACTCAGAAACCATTAGCCCAAACATCTCCAAATTTGTCATAGAGCAAGAGAAGATTGTCTGCTACATCTGATACTGATCCAAGGTCTAGTTTCAAAGTTATAAGTGTTTGTTTGGGGTGCTCCCATTTTTTAGTTGGCTTATAGAATGCTGAATTGGGCTGTCACACACTATATCTATTGTTGCACTCCCATGCACCAATAATATCTCACCTTAAATATCAGAAGTCACATTGCTTCTGTACACTGTTTACCGGGCTATGTGAAAGTCAGATGCCCTCATTTCCTGCTAATGGACTCTCTATTGGTGATCACGGTCAGCCACTTTGAGAACTGAATGGTAGACTAAGTGGCCTGATCCAGCAGGGCTCCTCTGGTGTTCTTACGCATGTATCCATAGGAAATCTTACTTATAGGCAGCAGGTGTAGAGGATACAGAGTGGGCCATGTGATGTACACAGCTCCAATTCCTCCCAACACTCCCTATTTCCCAGTATCTGGTACTCAAAGTAATTGCCAGATTCTGCTTATTGGCCCAGCTGGACCCATCTCATGTGATGTACACAGCTCCAATTCCTTCCAACACTCCCTATTTCCCGTATCTGGTACTCAAAGTAATTGCCTCATTCTGCTTATTGGCCCAGCTGGACCCATCAGCAGGCAGATCTCTGGGCAACATGTAAGTATTTCTGACTTTCAATAATTAGCAATGCTGTTTTTGTTTTGTGCTGTCAAGTTGCTTCTGACTTACGAAGATCCTAGTAGGATTTTTTAAGCATGTGAGATGTTGAATGAGAGGTTTACCACCTCCACCTCCCCAGTGAATTTCCATAGCCAAGCTGGAATTTTAACATAGGTTTCCTGAGTCGTAGTCTGATGCTTTATCCACTTGACCATACTCAATCTGTTTAATTGACAACTGGACAACTAGAAGTTCTCTCTTTGGCTGCTGGAATGAACAGGGCCAAATCAAGGTATTTTCCTGCCCGAGAAGAAGCACAAGATGGCAGATCACTCTAAACTTAATTCTGTACTGATAATTAGGGTTGCCAGATCTCCTGGCACTGCGTGAAGTCCCTATGAACCGTTATGCCACCCTAGGTCACTGGCAACAGAGATAAATTATAAGTAGCACTGGAGGAGGAGAAAGTGCAGTCATTTGTGAGGTGATTGTTAGCCCTAAGAACCTATCTCTGCCCACCTCCAGCTAGGACTAGGGTTTATAGGCTCAATGTTTGTACATGTGTTGCACTTGCACAATGTCTGCACAGAAAACTCAAGGAGTGAGTGGAGAAGATTGGACAGAGAGATATTAGATGTATGCATTTGGGCCTCTTGTGGCACCTGGAGCAAGCAGGGAGTGGAGCACCAAAATCATAACTCATGAGCTTTCTTGTTACACAGCCCTTGCAGCAGCAGTGCAGTACCTGGCTGCGGTAGGGGAGGATCATTTGCATTGGCTAATGCTGAGCCTTCCACAAGCATTAGCAGCCACCTGGGCTTGGGAAAAAGGTCATAGGTTACGCCAAGCCTTGCAAGAGCAGGAGCTATGCGAACCATAACTCAACCACTAAAAAAATAGCTCCCTGTTTGGCCCCTGTTCTGTGTAGTTATCCAGGTTTTGCTTGGATTCTGGCCTCATTTATCCAGCTTCCCCTCATGCATGTTGCCACAATCATTGGGTCCAGCAGCAATTCAAACCCCTTGGTTGCCCTGTATCTGTGACATTCTAAGGAGATGAGGATCCAATCTCAGTCTCAGGTTTGGGATCGAAATCTAGGGAAATGGGATACATAGGAACAAAATGATTACAGTTTGATAGTAGCTCTCTAAGTGCTTTCTTTTGGGACACAAAACCATAGACTTGAAGATTTTCGGTGGTGAAGTTCGCCTAGGGAATATATGAATTAAGATATATGCTCTCTCTCTCTCTCTCTCTCTCTCTCTCTCTCTCTAATGTAAATATAAAAATATAGGCCAAATATACAATATAAAAACATTGACCAAAACCAGCACCCATATGTCCAATACAAACATAGGTTTAAGGAGCACAGCTCCTAAGACCTGAGACCGTCTCCATTCTTTTTCCTTATATTTTTGTTAATTATAATATATAATAATCTTATTAGGTTTGTTAAAAGAAACAGAAGTCTGGAATCATCCTCACATAGTAATCACTGCAAAGATTTTCTGGTTTGAAAGATGTGGGTGAATAATCTATTTTTATATTTTTGCCTTATATTTTAAAGCAAATATGTATCTTGGTAGATCAAGAGAACCTCTCCCCATTGTTATAATTTTTATAGTCAGTTTTCTGAAGGCAAGGATACTTTTATTTTCAGTAGTCATTGCTATGGTCATTGTGAACCTCCTGACTAACAGATAATTGGTTGCACCATGAATTATGTTCCCTGAGCTAAAGGTGAGTCAAAATCTCCCTTGGTCACCAGAACAACAAAGACATTTATTGTGGCTGGAACCCCACTCGAAAGACACAAGCACCTTAGCTTTGAGAGGAAAGCCTGCTTTATTATTTGATTTATATCTTTCTTCTTTTCCCTGTCTAGTCTTCTTCTGTCCTCCTATTAGCAATGTTGGCATCTTGCAGACAGAGAAGAAACTGAGAAAGAAAACTGAGAGGCTGGACAATAGGACACATTTTCCCCCTACACAATTTTCTCTAACACATGAATTTTACATGTAGTTATTGCCAATACAATTCAGAAAAGTGTGGAATAAAACAACAACAAAACCACCCAAATGTGTTGTAATCCATGCATCAATCAGGGAAGGAAACATTACCTCAGGTTGCTTTAACAAACAAAATCTCAACAGATCCCTACATTATTTGTTTGTTTGGCTTTTACCCCGCCCATCTAGATTCTAAATGAATCTACTCTGGGCAGCTTGAGTCTGTTCTTAAACAAGAATTTAAAACAGACAATATTCTAACAAAAAGGAAGATAAACAAACCCCAAGATGGGGAAAAACAGAGAATTAAGTGATGAAAGGGGGGGAAGGCCTGCCTGAAGAAAGAAGTCTTCAGCTTGTTCTTAAAAACTCCAGCAAGGGTGCCAGGCGAATCACGGGGGGCAAGAGGTTCCAGAGGTGAGGGGCCACCTCCGAGAAGGCCTGGTTTCTAGTTCACACCTTCCGGGCCTCTCAGACATAGGGAATTAAGTGATGAAAGGGGGGAAGGCCTGCCTGAAGAACCAAGTGCTCAGCTTGTTCTTAAAAACTCCAGCAAGGGTGCCAGGTGAATCTTGGAGGGCAAGAGGTTCCAGAGGCGAGGGGCCACCTCTGAGAAGACCCGGTTTCTAGTTCTCGCCTTCCGGGCCTCTCTCAGGTTCAAGCCCCTCAGCTGCCCAGCCTGGCTAGATTGAGTGACGCGAGTAGAACTAGGTGGGAGCAGGCACTCTGCCAGGTATCGAGGTCCTAAACTGTTTAGGGCTTTATATGGTGGCGCTGCGGGCTAAACCGCAGAAGCCTGTGCTGCAGGGTCAGAAGACCAAGCAGTCGTAAGATCGAATCCACGCGACGGAGTGAGCTCCCGTTGCTTGTCCCAGCTCCCGCCAACCTAGCAGTTCGAAAGCATGCAAATGCAAGTAGATCAATAGGGACCACTTCGGTGGGAAGGTAAACAGCGTTC